CCTTGGTTAAGATACTGGAAGGGACACTTCTCTGGAGACCCCATTGCTTTGCTTTGCTTTGCTTCTTGACAGGCTACTATGGAGTTTTTCCCTTCCTTTCCTCTCCTCTGTTTTTCCTTTTCTCTGAAGGAAATTTTAAGTTAATATATGGGCTGCACAAACAAAACTCTCTATGTGTATAGCTGTCTCAAGGTGCTCCGCAGTACTGTTCCCATCCAGCCAGCAAGGCTCCTTTCCTTCCTTCAGCATAGGCCCAAAGTGCATAAGCAAAAGCCTCAAGCCAAGAAACGGTCTCCTTAAAAAAAATGTATATATTTTTTTTAAAGTACATTTTTAGTAGTGGACAATTTATCATATTGACTCTAATCTGGGAAAAGCCTGAGCTAATTCTCTGAGAGATGGTGCTTCTGTTGTTCTTGGTTTGTATTCACCCTGCTGAAGGACAACAATGACAACAATGTTCCCACAACAAAGGTAACCCTTATCTGCTGATTTCTGTAAGTAAACCTCATTCCTTTGAGCTTTCATGGCTTTCAGTCAGTTAATATTGTCAATCATTGACTTTAAATGTTGGAAGGACTTCATAAATGCATACAATCCCCCTCATTGTGCAAGGAATCCAAACGTGCATCAGTCTGAGCAATCAGGCTGCAGGGACCCCAGCAGCGATGGAGACACTTCTGAGTCATCACTGCTGGAACTAATGTAACATGGCCAGGTTTTTACAGCAGCTACCATGTGATAAAGAAAAATCTCCAAACTAAAATGCTGTCTAGACAACATTTACAGAAGTGCAACTCAGGAATTGCAGTTTTAGAACTTCCACATTTTTCTAATATTCAAGTTTCTTCTTCACTTATGTGAAGTAATAGAAAATAACTGGAGAGAAAAGCACAGTTATGACAGGCAGAAGGTTAAAAAGACACATTTCGACGAAAATTTTCTTGTAATTTTGGTAAGTATCATCAAGCTCAAATTCGTAAGTAGGCTTTGATGCTATGTCCTAGTGATCCTGGTTCAAACTAATTAAAGGATCAGCTTCTCAGTAGGTTTTGCAAGGCTCTTTGTCATCAGTGAACCTGTGTCTGACACAGTCTGAAGGTTTGTGAACTTAGAACAAAATTACACTGCTAAGAGCATTTTTATTTTAGAACCTGGTAGGCCAAAATGATCCTGAAACAAAAGAGAGAAAATCCTGCTTAACAAAAACAAAACAAAAAAAAAAAGAAAAGCATCTTGGACTATATTTAAACATTACAACAATGTCATGCATTTCATCTAGAGTTTGGAAATTTCTAAACATACTCTCTGGGGGCTTAGATTATATAACAAACCTTAGAAGGTAACAGCTGTTCTTTTCATTGTTTCCCACAAACTAATCAAACAAAATCAATTCAGAAACTTAGACACAAAAATATTCAGAATTTACAGAACTCCACACACAGAAAAGGTACAAAAAAGACTATTCGAGAAAGCCTACCCTACCCTGCAGTAGAGAAAATCTCCTCAGATTCAAATAAAATTTCGCACTGCATTTCCCCCAACCAAAAATAATATAAATTATTGTTTTTATTATTGCAGGGGTACTGGAGAAGAAAAAAAAAAAAAAAAAAAAAAAAAAAACAACCCTGGCAAGAGTTTTATGTCCTGTGACATATACACACTTCTGTACCCTTGAAGCATGCACTTCTTGCCCTTGAAATATATAGCGCTTTCATGATTTTTTGGTGGAGCAGTAGGGAAGCCAAGTCCTTTTCCCCTAGGTGTGAAGTCAGGAGGGGAAGACAGGCTATGAAGCAGATGACACAGATTTGCGGGCTGCTGTTGTTGTTGATACTTATCCATAAGTATCCATAAGGAGGAAATAGAGGGAGGAAAGGTGGATCCGGAGCAAGTCCTGCCCCGTATCAGGCCCGTTGTAGGCCCGGTGCTTCCTGTGAGAGGGCAGCGGAGCCGTCCCGAGCTCCAGGCTCCCGCGCGGGTTTTACCAGGCCCAGGCCCGTGCTGTGACTGCTCCCTCTCCTGGCGCTGGAAGGGAGACAGGAAAGCCCGGCTCAATCTGTAAAAAACGACAGCAAAAACACACACAGGCAGCCGTGAAACTACTGCAGAGCTAAACGAGAAGCGACAAAGAAGGGGTCCCTGTGTGCTGGCCACGAGCTGACGCGTCCTTAACGGTATGATGAGAATTCAGTCCTGCTCGTTACGATAACGACGCGCAGAGTCCTGCGCTGAGGGAGGAACAACCGCACGCGCCCGCGCAGGCCGGGCCCGACCTGCTGCGAGGGAGCTGGGCAGCCGGGTGGGCACCAAGTCCACCGCGAGCCAGACACGCTGCGGTGGCCAAGGAGGCCGAGGGCGACCAGGGGTGCGTGAGGCAGGGCATTGCCAGCAGGCGGAGGGAGGTGATCCTGCCCGGAGACCTGGGGAGGCCGCACCTGGACACACACGGAGCCACCGGAGGGAATCCAGCGTGCAGCCATGAAGATGATGGCGGGACTGGAGCATCTCTCTCTACAGAGAGACTGAGATAGGTGGGGCTGTTCAGACTGGCAAAGAGAAGGCTGAGGGGGCTCCCATCAGTACAAATACCTTAAGGGACGGTGTCAAGGGGATGGGACCAGAATCTTTTCAGTGCTGGCCAGCAACAGGACAAGTGGCAATGGCCACAAAGTGAAAACACTATCTGAACAAGAAGTAAATCTTCACAACTGTGTGACAGAACCCTGCTACAGGCTGCCCAGAGAGGCTGTGGAGTCTCCTTCTCTGGAGATCTTCCAAACCCGCCTGGATGCCACCCTGTGCCACGTGCAGTACGTGTCCCTGCGTGTACAGAGGGGCTGGACTAGATGATCTCTAGAGGTCCCTTCCAACCACAACCATTGTGTAGTAAGAGACATGCAGTATCTGTGCTGTAGGGAGGTACTGCAGTACCTTCCTCATTCATCAAGTGAATGAGGCTATCGTCCAGAGAAGCCACAACATTCTCCACAGTTACTCAGGTAAACAGAAGAACCACAGCTGGTTTAGTATTAACAAAATAATAAAAAACAAGCAAACAAAGAGTTGTGAAGTAAATGTGAGTTTACAAAGTTTGGAATGCAAAGATATTCATAATACTCAGCATCACCAGTTCCCAAAGGACCCATCCCACAGCTCGGCCAAAGCCCCAGCTATCCAAAGGGCTCTGAGGCTGAAGGACCAGAGCACAGAAGGCAGCAGGACTTACCCACATCCACAGCGATGCTGCTCACAGATGCACATGCAGGCACAACCTGAGTGTCAACACACTCCATGGGAAAGCAGAGCCCCAAATGTTTGGCGTTTCCTTTTTCTTGCTACCTCACAACAGTCACAGCATTGGACACAGCAGTCCCTGCCCTGCTCGCCGCCGTGGCATCAGCCAGCGGTTCCCAGGCAGCACAGTGAGCTCCTGTGGAACCAGCAGTACTGATGCACCGAAGGAAAAACACAACGGCCTGTCTGCAACAGCTTGGTGCCACTCTGCATCTATCCCCTTCAGAAGGGGACAGATAATGACACCAGTAAGAGCTGTAAAGTCAACACACAAGAAACATGTGGCATTCACAACAGACCCACTCAGCAAAGCAGATAAACCTTGCCTTTAGGTTACAAGATAGACTGGGTATTGGATGCTTCATCTTCTCCCTTTCTTCTCCCTAGTTAGTGTTGAATTCAACTCTTACAGCAGAGCAGAAGGCTATTATGGGTGCCCTAGGCCTGCGAAAACCTTCCAACACAACTTGCATCTTAAGATACCCGCTAATTCAAACACAAGACAACACTGTAAGAAAGCAGGTTCTATTAGTTCACAGCTCACAGCTGTGAGCTCATTAGCTCACAGTAGCAAAGCACACTTTGGTAACAGTGGAAAAAATGAAAAAAAAACAGTCTTCAAACATCAGATTTTGGGATATTTTTAATTGTTATAGAAAGTTATAAAGAAAAACAAAGTGTTGCTCATTTAGTATTACAGTACTACTCAAGGCTTAAGCATGGCTTTTACTAAAAGTGCATTTTAGAAAGAGGCACAAACATCATCTCTTTAGACAGAAGGTGAGGTATCTGCAGGCAAAGACAATTATCCAAGATGACCTAGCAAGCCAGGGGCAGAAATAAGAATGAAAAATAGGTCTCTTGGTAGTTCAAGCCTATGCGCTGCAAGATATTATTTTTTTCACTGTTAATAAACGTGCACCTTGATGAACGGTGCTGTTACTTCAACATATCACAAAAAACAATGCTTTTTTGTATGTTTAAAATATTCCTTTTAAAACACTATTACGTGATTGAAACATTAAAAACATTTTGATATCTAACAACATAATCTGAGAGTTTTTCTCAGGGCATACTGAATTTGGTTGAAAATTGTTAAATTCTGACAGCATACTGACAGCATAAGAAATGCAATGTTGCTAGAATAATCACATTAACATGAGAGGTTACATGGTGCATTAATTAAAATTTCCCAGGCCATTCTTCTGTCTTTTCAGCACTTCATTGCCCTTTGAGCACGCTGCCCTTGCACAGGGAGAACGCTTGCGTATCACCCAGGGCATGTCTCTGCAGCACAACACAGTGCAACTCAGAGCTACAATAACGAGGCAAGCAAAAAAAATATTGAGGTGGCCTTTTAATACAGCGAGTTAATCCCCTTAAAGTGACAATATTGCTTCCATTTCCAAGCCAGCACAGGACTTTCTTCAAGGCACTTACACAGGCCCATCAGCAAACTGACATTTTTTTTTTTTTAATGGGTCATCTGAGTGATTAGAAAGAAAATCCACCTCAGACATCCTTCATTACAAAGGTAACAACCATGATTCAAAGCAATCCTGAGCAAGAGTAGAAGAAATGAAGTATCCCCAACTAGTAAGTATATTTTGGAGAAGGAATTTGTATAACCACATACAAACGTGTTGTATTAATCAGACTGAGTTACTTTTTTCTATAAAAAAAATCGTATTTTATCCATACTTGTATCAAAGCAAGAATTATCATTTTAAACAGCACTGTGGTTTTATTTGACAGGCCAATGTTCTACTAGTAAGCCTTTCCCCTTACAGCTTGGAGTTGAGCTGTACCAGCATCTTTTCCAGCCTCATTGCTAATGCCATGTTACCACTGATCCTTAATTTTCCTGACATGAAGGCCATGGTTGGCTTTAGTTTACCTAAAAAAAGGAAACAAATTCATCAGGAAGCACTCACACAGGGAACAGTTGTATCATTACAATAAAATCTACCCATTCTTTAAACATTCCTCTTCGATAGAGATTTGATATTTTTATCTACATACTAAACATATTAAGTCATACTCTTTGGGTAAATTTCAATTCCCCCACTCCCAGTATTTCCACATATCTCTGATATAAAAATGCACTGAAAGGCTTTGCTGAAAACGATGAGGCAGGTTAACTGAAGTAGAATTTGCTTTTCTACGCCACTTTAAGAGGTGTTTTAGAGTACTTCATTAATGTTAAACTTGCAGCTTCCTTTATCATGATTAATCTACATCTTCTGACTTTTTTTTTTTAAGTTTTGCTAGAGGAGCTATTCAAATGTTTTGAACAATGATAAACCTGATAATCAGAATTATGAAATAGTCACCTCACATTGCAGAAAGGATGACATTCTGCCCTTTTCACCATTAAAGTATTTCCCAGAAGTGAAACAAATTCACCAAGAGTACAGAATTGCATCAGCTTTTGTATGCTATTACTTAACTGAAGATTGGATTACAAATGATCTCAACTGAGCCAAGATCATATGACTTAGGTCTTAGGGAGAAGGAGTAAAGAAAAACTAGCTTATTTTGCTACAAAGTTCCATAACAATCACATCTTATTATTTTTATTAGCAGGAATTAAATGTGGGGGAGTGAAAGGAGATTATTTGTTATTTCAACAACAACAAAAATTTAAGGCATGAATGCAAAAATGAAACACCTCACTGTTTGCTGTATCAGTGCATCTGAATAACGCAAATGCTTTGAGCACTCTCTGGAAGCAGTATGCATATTCAGAATAGGCAGGGCAAATATTAAGAGATGGGTGGGAAAAAGCTCAACAGCCTGACCAAACACTTTCTGATGCTGCACCCACTACAAAAATAATTAGAGCAGTAACAAGTTGTATCCTCTCTTTATTCTCAGGCTGTAAGAGCTAAGAAAGATTAAAGGTTTCATTTGAGCCACAAAAAGCCCAAATCTCATGCCATGATAGAACCACAGAATGAAGGGAGGCAGTCTATTAATCATTCAGGGGAATGACTTCTAGGCACAAGTAACTGCATCCTCCTTGTTGGAGGCATTTGCCACTCACCTGTGAACATCTTCACGAAGTCGGTACTTGACATGCTCATCACCACGTCGGCCTTCACCGGGGGCTTGCCCGAGCCAGCGCTCCCGCCTTTGGTTTTCAGGTCGATGTACCACGTGCCTCCATCATCACCTGAACAGAACAGTGAGAACTTACAACCATGCACAAGAGACAGCTATTTTGTTTTTCCATTTGGCATGATTAATGTGCTATTCACCCTGAAGGTGCTTTGCGAGAAATTAGCACTTTCCCCACACTTTCTACATAGCAAAGCCAGTCTTTTGCAGATGCCCTGTATCCACCCCACGTATCAGGGGATGCATGCAGAAGAACACAAAGGCGGGAGCAGCAATTCCTACATTCTCTGAAGTTGGTCCTGGAAAGCAGCCCTACACGGAGTGTGACAAAAGCTGTTTTATTTCTCAATTAGCTTTAAAGACGAATGTTTCTATATGAAAATGCCAAATGTATTTTGCTATAAATGTGAGCATGTGAAGATTTAACAAATAAAAGTCTTACCAGATAATTCAAACATGAAGACGCCCTGAATAGCCTTCACAAACTCTTCAGTTATTGCTCCCTGAATAACTTTAAATGTTTCTCCAACAGGACCCAGTGGCTTGGCCGAAGCCGATTCTAAATTAACCTTAGCTCCATCTGGTCCTTCATGCTTAGGTCGACTTGCTTTCTTTTCCTCTTTGAATATTGGGGAAGCACCTACAAGAAATAAATTCTTTTCTCTGTAAAATGCAAAACATGTTTTTTTTCTTAAACAGAAATTTCTGGTCAGAAAGCATATTTGCAGTTGTTCTGATAATACATAATGTTCTAATGCTTAAGATAAGGGAGGTGATCTATTCAAATATAGCCTCCTTCTACCTTCCTGTTATATATAATTTGGGACTCCTGTAAAATCTATCCAGAATCCTTATTTGCCTTCTAACATTCAAACTACAGCTTTTGAAACACCAAAGCTAATGATTTTCTAAAGATTTTTCTATTTCACCTATAAGGTATTTACATCTGTGTAAAAAGTTTCATCTAGAAAACAATGGATGCTCTGCCTTTTTTTTCCTTAAATCATACACATCAGATGACATTCTGCAGAATGTGTTTTTTGCTACTTAGCTCTTTCTTTTTTTTTTTTTCCCAGCAACTGAATAAGGATTTTTTTTTTAAACAGGACACTGAAACTTCCATCGTATAAAAATCAAAGTCCTGTGGAAGATAACATTTTTTCTACACATGAAGTGCAGGCACCCTGCAACACTTCCATAAATTAGGCACAACAAATGAGAAAGTGTTTTGTAGGCTAGTTTGGCTGCAGCTCAAGCACTTATGAGAAAATAAAAAAAACCCTGAAATATAAATGACATTAAACATGATCAGATACAATAGCCAATGACCAACTTTTGTACATGTTGCTTTCCCTA